ACCAAAATATCCTTTTCTGAAAGAAATCTCAACTACTAGAGGATAAATGATTGTGTATTTGATTTATGGAGTTACTTAACCTATTTACTTAGGATTCTCTATGAATACATATATAATTTGTATTTATCACAACAACCAATACTTGGAGGTTGTTTTAAGCACTTTCACATTATGATAAACTGAGGTTCATTTGCTGTATTTTTTCCAATGAGGTTATAGTCTCTGTGGAAGCAGGAGGCATTGTCCTTTTATGATCATATTTTTAGAATCTAACTTATGTCCAATCCAAAGTAAAGACTTAAATATGTGTGTGGAGTATGTGGTATATATATTTCCAAAGCTATACTTCTATTGAACTGCACCTTTACTCATGATTAGGCAAATCAAATTTGATCTCTAATCACTTAAACTATTAAAATAAAGATTTCAAATTTATACCATCTTTCTATACCATCAAGGAATTTATTTCAAAGACCATTAATTCACTGTAAAAGCACAATTCTTGTTATCTCTTATCCTAAGCTTGTGCCATCATTTCACCCTTTACAGTAAAAATTAATAAAGTTGTGTTAATTGTATGAGTTTTCCTATTTCTGGACTGAAGAAACATGTGTAGGAAATTATTAAAGCAATAGCATTTTAGACACTGTCGCTATTGATATTCATTTGCTTTGCCCTTGGAATTCACAATATATAGGATTTCATTAGCTACTGAATAGTCCCATCTTTATATTATCAGAACAGGCTCCCTAGGCACCTGGCCAAAGACTTTCTTCTTTAGGAAACAGTCAAGTAGGCTGCAGTGATTCATCTTGGGACTGAAGGATGGGAGTAGGCAGCCTTCTCCTCCACCAGTCAGCATCCTCAGGAGATGCTCATATTCTGCTGCCTCCAATTAGCTTTTTCTGTCATCCCACCATCAAATACTCCTAAACTATAAGACGTTTAAGAGCTGTCATGGGTTATCCAAGGGTTGGTTTATGCTGGGTGATGGTTTTTACTCTAGATTTGACCAATTCAAAATTACTCTAGTTACAGAAAGTCTGTGACAACCTCAGGTGACCAATGTCAGTGTCCTGCCTCTGCGTTATTGCAGGCTGGCCTTTAGACAAATCACTCAATCTCTCTGATCTTTTGTTTCCTAATACAGAAAGACAAGATGATGACTGCTCTCCTGCCTAATCTCCACAGATTGTTAAATAGCTCAGTTCCATTATCTATATAAGAAGTGTTTGTCAGTAGAAGGCACTTCATGGCTGTAGGTTACTTTTCTCTCTCTTACATTTAGTTGTCTTAGACAGGATATTACATCCAGGGGATAAGAAATCACACAAAATGATTTCTTTTATAGAGATACCTTTCTGTACAAACAATCTCATCTTCTCTTCAATTTTTAACCATTATATGGATGACATATATTACTGTATTTGAAAGGGAGCAAGCCTTTGTATTTCTTTTCTACCTAAACATATATATTTTAGCTGGAGTCCTTAAGAAGCTTGATCTGAGATATGTAACCATGACATTTCTCCTTACCCAGCTTTCCACTCGCTTTTAACATCATTCCCATACCACTGCCAGGGAAGAAAATCCTCTCCCTCACATTTGCCACAGAAAAGATGGAGTCACATGGTTGAATTCTCACCTATCACATGAATCTCTCTTCCAAACCCATCCCCATATCACCTTTTAACTGGCCTTTTCCAGTTTTAGGTCAAAACTATAAAACCAGAGTTAATATAAATGGATACTTTCAATTGCTTTCAATTTTTGAATCCTGTGGAAACTGTCCAATTTTTTGGTCTTCCTCAGCTTCTTTCTCCTTGTCCACATAAGGGTAATAAAAATAGTATTTTGTTATAGAACTATTGGCTTATTTAATGGATGAAACACATGAAGAATAATACCATAAGTAGGAAAAACACTCTCTTACTGGTACATATGAAATCAGAATTTACTTTTTTTCCTTTGACTATTATCTATGTTTTATTTCCTGTGACATTCAATATTTTCCCTATATTTCTACTTAAGACACCCTTGTACATTTTGTTTTTTAACTTCAGTTGAGAATAAGAATGAAGTTCCAAGAAGTAGTAGTGGAACAAAATGAACACATAGCTAAAAGTTATGAGAAGCTACTTACATGATTTACTCATTCTTTTAAATCAAAAGAGAAAGATGTAAACTATTTTTTATTTTAATGTTATCCTCTGTGTGTCAGGCTCTATAATGCCTCAGAAAACATGACAGAGCCTGATTTACAGTCACTTCTGGAAAGCTGCCTGTAAGACGCTAAGGACGGGAAATGAAAAAAAAAAAAAAAAAAAAACAGTACAGCACACACACTCCAGGACATTCCACACAACATGTAGAATAAACAAGTCCAAAAAGGAAACCAAAAGCTGTTGGTCTTAATTGAAGGGTACCATAAATGGCCTTTTACTACAGATGATGATATCTGAAAAAAGCTTTTAAAAGTGAGAAATTTGTCACAATTAGAAAGAATCCTTTACATCTCTAATGCTTGTTGAATACTTTCAGTTTAGATAAATTCCATTTCCTGCATCAACATTATGCAAAAGTAATACATTACAGATGTATTTCTGTAATTTTAACAGGAATAAAATTTTTCCAGGGATCTTCTCATAATCTTCATGCTGATTCAACTATGGGCAGGATGTATCCTTCACCAGCTCCTGGATGATACAGATGCTGCTGGCTTATGGTCACATTTGCTGTTCAGTCACCTTCTTCAACAAAATGATTGACAGTGATATTCTGATCTTTATCTGTTCAGCAGTTGCTTTCATTTGTGGGCAGTTTTGGGCTCAGAGGAATTTGGCATTGTCCGGAGACATTTTTTGATCATGAAAAGTTACGTAGTTTACTGACATCACATGGCTATGGGCCAGCAATGTTGCTAAATACCCCTCAACACAAGATACCATTCATATAAGGAATTTTCTGACCCAAAATGTCAATGATGCCAAAGTTGAGAAACTCTAATATATAACTACTGTTTTCCATGTTTTTCTGTTAAAAATAATATGTTAGAATTGTTCAAAAGTCAACAAATAGAACCTGCAATTAAAGGGTAAAAGCATGTACTATTAAGCTTGGAGCAGAGTGTGCAGTGTTTAAAAAAATCTTCAAGTTATGAAAAACCATTATGCAGAAGATGGTAACCAGCTGTTCTCTATTACTCTTGAAGAATGAACAGGAAATGTACATAAAAGGGGCTGTGTTATCCATCTTTTATTTTTTCTGCTCCCTTCACAGTAGCCAGGCAAATCTCTTCATGTTCTCACAACCATATTTGTCTCGTCTCATGTCTTGCTCCTTGTGGAGACCCTCCCAAATCCTGGGTCCACATGTTCTTCTCACTGCCAAACCTCATGTCTCCTCTCCTTAAAGAACTAAATTTCTATCGTAATGAGGTCTTCTCTGTCTAAGATAGGATAGTTGCTAGCTCACCTCCAACTATAGTTGGCATGCGTGCCCCTTTTATATGTTGTCATTCAATCTACAAATGGATTATTTTCTGTCTGTTTGAAAAAAGTTGTGCTAGCTTTCAGTAAGCTTTCAACAAAACAATAAGGCAAAATTTTTCAATCTAGAAAAAAGCTAACATAGATGACTACAATATAGATAGTATTTAAAAAATACTTCAAATGAGAAATTTTTTCAAAAAATGAAGAGGTTTTAGTAATCAGAAATAAGATTAGCTCTAACTAGGTGAGATCAAGGGAAAATTTATATAGATCCACAAAATGTAATTATCTTATATTGTTTCCTTGAAAATAAATTCTTTCCAAAGTAAGTTAGAATCTGTACACCAAATAAGCTTTTATTATTGTTACCAAAATTTGAATGTTATGAACTATGATAATCTGGATTTAGACTATATTTATGAAAAAGTTTATAATAATAATGTTTTATGATTGGAGTAATTAAATCTGTTCACAATGTAAAAGACTAGAAAAGAAATTATTCACAATCACTGTGGATGATTCCATGGTTTTGACAAAGGAAACTGAGTTATTTACCTCTGAATACACATTATGATGTGTTGCAACTGTGTGAGGCAGGATTTGGGGAGAATTCTCAGTTATATCAGGAAAGAGCAGGTATTTTTGAACCTTACATGTACATTTTAAAAACCAGTATCAAAAATGAAATTTGAACCCTTTATCTGAATTTATGACTCTAGCATACCTTCATGAGACAGTGTCATCATTAAAGGGTTTTAACTCTCTGGACTATAAGAAAATTTAAGGGAATTAGCTCTCATTAGATATATAGTATATGTCAGGCTTTGAGTGAACTTTTAGACATGTCATCTAATTTAGTCTTGACAGCTACTTGTGAGGTTATCACCACCTACAACATTATAAAAAGGTTTTATTGTATTAGAATAAGCTTTTGCCCACTGCTTGCTTAAAGAAGAGACACAGAACGCATCTTAGGCCTAGATATGAAACCATCTCTCAGTGGAGACTGTCTATCTACCTTTCTTTTCAGAAGCAGCAAGGAAGTCTTTTCTCCATAGGACTTTAAGTGCATATACTGCGTCCACTGTAGTCGCAAAGAGAATACAAAACTGTTTATAATTACTAGTGGCTGTGGTTCAGTGTATAACTTGCTGTTGGGAAAATAATTGTAACTGCCTTCATTACCATGAGTATGAATTTTTGTGACTCTTTCCCAAATGTCTTTTGTCTCTACTTATGGGAATGGTGCAGATACTAAATTTTTATGGATTTTTTTGTTGAATATTAACACTTGCAGTCTTTAAAAACGTCTTGTTTGTTTTCAGTCAGTAATAACAGATAATATTAGGGCCTTTTTTGAGGTTCTCATTCTTTGAGCTCCATTGCTCTTTTTAATAAGAGCAAAACTTTTAGTGGTAACTTCAAGAATGCTTTTGATAATTCAGACACGATGAGATCTCAGTTAACTTTTATGACCGGATTTTGTCTTCCTCTCTAAAATTGTCCTAGGCTTCTGTGAATCCTTCAATGTGGATGTGAAAAACTCCATGAGTTTCAGCGGCCCAGTGGAAGACATGTTTGGATATACTGTTCAACAATATGCAAATGAGGAAGGAAAATGGTAAGCCAGGTTTTTTTCTGTCATGTAGTTATTTTACAAGGTAATGGAAAATATTATTTGACTGTAGTTTGTTTTATAGATGAAATTTCAACAGAAGGAATCTTTTATATTCTAAAATGTAGTCAGTCTAGTCACTTGATAATGAAAACTGACTTCAAGAAAAAGAAGAAAAAATTTCTTGGAATTTTAGAGGAAGTGGTTAGTGATTTCTGTTGAAGTTTGGCATTCTTAAGGAATGAATGTTATTTTGTCAAGAGTGTCTTAATTATTCTCATTTTGGAATAATTCAAATATGCTAGGCTTACGTTTAGTAGAAAGAAATAGGAGGAAGATGAGATAATATCCTGAATATCTTAATACTGCTTTCATAATCTGGGCCTTATTTATTTGGTGTTTGCTGAGTTTATTCTTTTGTTGAGTTTGGTCGAATGTTTATAACAAATTGTACTAGATTTCTGTTTTACATTTAAAGCTTGTTACTCATTGGGTAAGTTCACTTTAAGTAAGATTTTTTAAAATAGAGTTCTTTGCCTCATATTTAACTTAAACATAGCAAATATGATTTTTTAAAGCTGGATATCATAAAAAAATGAGCAGGAATTCGTTAAGCTTTGCTTTAGTTTCATAACTTAAAACAAATGAGCCAATTTTTATAGTAGCTACAAGAATAAAATGTCTACTTAGACAACAGTGATCTATTGGTCCACAATAATTGTTTCACAGATAAAAAGATAAATTTTACCTTATCTTTTTAACTTGTTTATTTGAAGATAATCCACTAAAAACCATCAAAAGTATTATTTTCAGTTCTTAAACTTTCTAAGTAGAAATATGTGTTAGATGTAATGTGGAATTTAGATGTAATGTAGAAGTAACAGAGGTGCTTCACTCTTCTACTGCCTTTACAAATATCTCAGGTGAGAAATCTAATAAGATTATGAGTTTTTAAATCCTTTGTGTTTTACTCCTAAGCCCACCTCCCACTTAAAGTTAAATGGATAAGCTTGTTCCATTAGATACTAGATAATGTTATACTTTGCCGAACATGAATTCTGTTAATTTTTTCCAAGGGTAAACACCCTCATAAATCATATTTACTATATATATTTTTAAGAATATCCACCTAAGAGTTAAAATTAAAAGAATAGTTCCAATCCATCTTATGCTGTGGCAGTAGTATGCCAAACTACCTGTTAGTCTATTATAAGTGCTATGTACTTTTAGAATATGTACTTTTAGAATATTGCTCTATTTCATTGGTAAGACTTCAACATTCATAGAAAAAGCAGTCTTATGTTTCCTTTACTATCAAGAGTTTACTGAAAAGAGTGATTTTCTTTATATCTTTGACTTTGAAGCCACGTGTTTTCTCAATGGCAAAACATGTTATATTTCTAATTAAGATCGTTTGTTGTTCATTATGGTTAGCATAAACTGGAACATCTAAGTAACTGTGATGTGGTCCAGAGGAATTCAAAAAGAATACAGTTGGCTTAGTAATTTTGCTTTGAAGAGAAGAAACTTAACTATCTTCTGCACAAAGCCTTCCAGATTTCCAGATTTAGTGGTAGTCCCCAGTAGGCATCTCAACCAAATGGGAAGATACAAAATGTGGTTTGGGGATTTCTGCTCTGTTAATGTCATTCATTCATGCCTAACCTTCTAATTTCCATTCAGGCAACCTCTCCTGAGGATTTTAGTGACTTCATTGGCTCTGTCCTCCCACAGTAGATGTTTTAAGTTGTAGATCCTTCTTTACCCAATCCTTAACCCAATGTATATCCAAATATGTTGTGTTCCTGCCTCTTTCTTAAAAGACTATTTTGTGCCAGGTAAGGGTACCTGTGGCTCATGTGACTGATGTCCTGTTTCCAGTATTTGTGTCCCTTAAATGAAGCCTGTTCTAGCTTGAGGGGGAAATCTTTCTCAAATATTCTCTTGTGAATTTTAACATAATTTTTATTTTAAATTTTTCATAATTCCTCTTGATATTGAAATTTTGTCTTTGATAGATTTCTTCTATCTTGGCTCACCTCACTGTCACCCCTAGCTTTCGTGACCAGAATATTCTAGTTACTGGGATCAGCTAATGAATTTTATGCCCTAGGATTACTAAACACTTACTCCACTTTTTAAAAAAATTATCTGACAAGACATGTGTAGCACTCTGATAGAACTTTGGTTTGCTGAATGTAACTTTTGACTCATTTGTATTAGATATAAAGAAAAAGTTAAGTAAAAAGGATATTAATGAAATGCTGTAAATATGGGACACCACTCTTCAGGAAACTATCATTTATGGAGGTGACACATAAATATAACAGATATCAGAGACTAGCTACTCTTTAAATACATGTAACAATAGTAAAAATAACAAGAATGACTTAATATAAATAGCAAAAGTTCCTCAATTTACCAAATTTTATTATATAGTATTTGTACCTTTTTCATAAAGAAAAGATATTTCTTTGAATTTGATGATCCTTGAGTTTATCCATGAGGTGTTTCTCTAGAAATTAATAATGATATTGAGGACATTTTAAAATTCTCTTAATATACAGAGAAATCATTGTAAAAATGCTATAGGATGCCTGGCAACTCAAGGTCATGAGTTCAATTCCTAGTCCCCCCACCCTATAGTAAAACAAAATCTAACATAAATAAAATACAATAAATCCAATTTTCACTAACATTTAAAATAGTAATACAAATAGTTTATGAAACAATGTGTCTTAAATTGTCATGGGAATTTGGGCCGATGTTACTGACATTATCTACATTTTCTAGAAAGGAAACTGGGGTTTAGAAAATACATTCTGACAGATTTTATATAGCAAGCACGTGATGAGGTCAAGGTGCGGACAATAGCTATCTTACTTTTAGTCCTTTCTTTCCCTCTAAGAAGGATTCTCTAGATTAGCACCTCACTGCAGAGAAACACCTTCTATGTCACTCAAAGACATGCATGGCATCCCTGTTCCATGCAATATCCAACCTCTAACCTAAAAGAGATTTCTCAATTTGGACCTCTCAGCTGGTCAAAAGAGCCTAAAATTCCAGGTCTGTTTTATTCAGATTCTTAGAGTATATAACACAGTCTTTCATTCAATAAATATTTATTAAATGTCTGTTTTGCACCTAGAATTGTTATATGTTCCAAGAAGCTATGTATAAACAAACTCAACAAAAATTCCTGCTTTGTGAAATTTCTATTTAACTGGGGGGGGTGGAACACTAAATAAATGCTAAATTTTAAAACTATTTATGTTGTATGACAATGTGATCAGTACTCTAAAAAAAAGTAGGGCAAGATAATTAGATTTGTAATGCTGGAGATTTCTGAAATTTTATAAATTGTATGCTCATACTTTTCTTGAGTTTTGTTATTTTTATGCAGCTTGGAACAGTGAGGGCTACTTAGGATTAAAGTGGTAAGATATATGTAATTTTAAGAACCACTTTTTATCAGAGCCAACAGTAAGTAGGAGAATACACAGAAAAGTTCTATGTCCTCTATCCCAGTACTCCATTTCTTACTATGTCACTGGGCAGTCTCCTTCTAGAGAGAGCTCACAAAATAAATGTTACCAGGTTTCGGGGAGCCAGGTCTTGGTTTTGAGGTTCCTCCTGTCTTCAACCAAAAACTGAACTAAACCAGCAAAAACGAAGACAACGTTTATTTGAGAAGTGAAGGGTAAGGCAGAAACTGACTCTCTGCAGAGTAAACTTGGGCCAAGTAAAAGACAGGAAAAAATTTAAAAAATAATAAAACAAAACAAAAGTACACCGTGGGGGACACCAGACCGGCTACTGTGGGGAAAAGCATAGTGATGTGCTTTCAGTGGCTCCTCATCTCTTTCTTTAGTTCACACATCACCAGAACTTGTGAGAACTCTGTGTCCCAGGCCCTGGGATTGTTTAGCCTCTGTGCCCTGGGTGTGTGATGTGTGCACCCTGGTCACACCCTTTCCACACCCTGCATTTCTGCCTCTTTATTGATCCCAGCCCTCAAATTGAACTATTTTAATCCTGGCCTACTACATTCTACCCTTTCTGAGCCATACACTTTGGTCTTTATTTGTCTCAGAATATAAAATAAGTCATGATTTTAGCTGCTGTATTGGGTCATTATCCAAATAGCACTGTTTTCTGGTGATTTCAATTCTCTAGAAATCAAATGCAATCTCTATTTTCCTGCTCCAATGCAGTGGAAGCTTTATCTGTGTTCTGTTGAGTTGTACATCTTCCTCATCAATGTTCAGTCTTTATTTTCCTGTCTCCACAATCTGCTTTTCATTCTGCTTTATCTTCAGCATGGTGTTCAGGTTCACTTTTCATCTATACTAGATTTCCTTATTAATAGTATATGTTTTCCAGGGCCTGGGGATTTAGCTCAGCAGCATAAGCGCCTGCCTTGCAAGCAGGCAGTCGTGAGTTTGATCCCCGGTACCGATAAAAAGGAAAAAGACAAAAAAAAAAAAATAGTATATGTTTTCCCACTAATTAATTTTCCTCTACACACTTATATTCTTTGCATAAGGTGGTATTTTAGAATTTGAAAAGACTTATAAAAACATATCCCAGAACATCCCTGACTGCTATGCCCTACGTCATGTTGGTCCGAGGGGCCTGACCAATATGTGTCAACTTAAATTACTCTCCACGAGTTCATCATCCTACTATTGCCTCTTCCTTAAACTCACTAAGTGACTATACCTACTATCTTCTAAGAAGAAAGTGAAAAACAGGAAATGAGAAGATACTAGACTTTATCTTTCTTGTCTCAGTTAACTGCTTCTGCAGAAACAAATCACCCCAAAATTTAGTGCTTAAAGCAACAGTGATTTATAATTTCCAAAGGTTTTGAGGACTGCAATATTCTTTGTTTCCTGGGCTTATTCATGTAATTTTAGTGTACCTCAGCTGGGTCTGGAGAGTTCAAGAAGGCTTATGTTACATGTCAGGTAAGTCACTGTCAGTCAAAGCATCCATTCTTATAACCAAATATCTTTTTACAGACTATATAGGGCTTCTTAGCTTGGTGTTTCACATTTCTGCAGAGGTAAAACAGAATGTGAAGAGCCTTTTAAGACCCACTCTAAACAGTTACAGTGTCATTTCTACTGCAGTATCCTATTTATCAGAACCTTTTCCAGGTCAAGTAGGAGAAAGTTCTTTTCTTTGAAATAATGATGATTAAAGCCACATCACTTCGGTGTATATCATTCCAAACTATCAACTACTTTTATGAGGTGTAATCAAAATATATGATGGATATTTAAATAAAAATTATTAAAGGACACATTGAAAGTAATCCCTCATAAAATGTTCCTTCTCCTTAAACTCGCTTATCTCCCTGTGCTTGCCGCTTTCTGAAGCAATGCTGGAAGTCTTCTTTTTGAGTGCCTTGATGCAACGAATGCTGATGCAGAGTGTTGTCCAATGGAAAGACAGGCTCATAAAACATAGAACATATAGTGTGTCCTAAATTCACTCCATTTGCTAGATCTGGTATTGTGTTAATGCTTGGCTCTTATTCAATGTCAAAATAATTATGAAAGGTGTTTTGAATTCCTTCAGGACAAGACAACCAGGACAGTACAAATAAAGACACAAAGTAGACTTCCAGAACTGCTTCAGAAAGTGGCAAGAATGGTGAAAATAAGTATGACCAAAGTGAGGGGAAATATTCTGAGGTGGGATTAATCACAATGTGGCTTTTACTATAATTACTTGTAAATTTAAATATTCATCATATTTTCTAATTACACTTTGTACAAACCTCTTGATGCTAGATCATAAAGTACTGCCTAAGGAATGGTGGCCCTTTTTCATTTGTAAGACAAACTGAGATTCTGGATCCCCCCTTTCTGCCAACTTGCTCAGGGACTCTATCCCCTCTCCTGACATAAGCTCTCTTCTTTTGTCTGGTTCTTTCTCACCATTATTTACCTCCATAATAAAGTTAAATTTTCCTCATACGCTTAATGGTTTCCATTGCCCTGAAATAAAGAAATTCGCATTCATTAACAGAGTCCTACCTCTCACCCCATTTTATCCAGCTTATTTATGAAGTCTGCTGCAAATTCGTAAGTTTTCTCCCATTCTGGATCTTCTTTCCTTCCCTGGTTTCTATAATATTCCCATTTCCTGATTCTGCTCCCTCTCTGACACCTCCTACTTAATTTGCTTCCCTTACTTATTGAAATCTAAGTATTATTTGTATCCATATATGAGCTTTCAACTCTCTTTTTTAATCTGTACTCTTTCAGATTGATAATATTTACTCTTAGGGCTTCTACCATGTTTATAACATGTTCACATGGATTCTGAGACGTTGGTTTTCAGAAAGACTGGGCCCGGTTGCTTACAACTGGCCTTTCATCCAGTCCTCTATATTTCCTTCATCGCCATACTTGTACATGCTTGGAATTGTCTCTAAAAACTCTGTCTATAGCAATGTATTTGTGTCTGGTCTACTTCTGGGGAAAACCAGGCTAAGAGCTTATATCCTAAATACTAATAAAACTGGTTTATCTTTCCTTTCTACTTCCTTAACTCAGATCTTCATGTGGATTACTTTAGGAACTCTTACACTGACGTTGTGACTCTAATTTTGCCCCTCTCCAATTTATTCATGACACTGCAGACAAATAAGCTTTAAAGTTAATGATTCAATCATGTCACACTAGTTTCGAAGAGCTTTAATGGTTCCTAATTTCTCTCTTCATATAATAAATCCAAAGTTCTTAAAGTGAACTACAAGAACATGCCTGATTTAAATTGTTGACTTTGCAGCCTCACCTTCTATCACAAAATACTGAACTTTGTGTACTTACCAAAGGAACGATGTGTTTTTTTTTTTTTTTTTTTTTTGCTTCTGAGACTGATAAAGTTGTACTGGGTTCAGACCTTTTTGGTATTGTGATGCACACTTTAAATTCTGCCTCCTGTTTAAGCAGCCTATTGTATGTATTCATCCATTTTCTATGTCTGTGATCTGGCATAAATGTCCAACTTGTAGAATGTTCTTAATGAACTTTAATTTATCTATCTAGCCTAAAGTTAAGTACTTTCAGTAACAGGGAAGTGCACTTAATTCTTTTACAACTATGAGACTAACTTACTTAGTAATATTACATAAAATTTTTAAATACTGAAAAAACTAATCACAATCTCCTTAATATGATTTGTTATGTTTTTGATGCATTCTTTTCTAATCATTATTTTACATAGATTTTAGTTGTTTAATAACCTGAAATTAAAATATAGCAATAAGTAAAACAATATTTACTGAATCAAATAATGTTTTCCCTTATATTGACTGTAGTTTTCATAATTATCCTGTGATATATGTGCTCTCAATATCTTTATTTTATTGATGAATAAACTAAGACACAAATAGGGTAATTGAATTCTTCTAAATCATATAACTGGAAAATTGTAAAGCCACAACATGAGCTCACAAACCTAAGTTCATGCTACCTTTTATAATAAGGATTAAGTTTCTGAGTATATGGAAAGTACTCAGAACACTATCTGGTGAATGATATGAATTTGATAAGCGCTTGATATTATGTTTGCCCTTATAATGAATATAACAATTTAATGTCTCATTTTAAGTCACAGATTTTCACTACGTAATGTAGGATTTCACTTTAAATTAGGCCATGCACAATTTTTTTTCCTACCATACGATCTTCTTAACTACCATTTTTCAGACAGCACAAAGATTCACAGAATGACCCTGCAAAGTTAATTTTTGCTGTTGACCATATTTCTTTTTATATTTATTAGTGCTATCTTTATGCAGTGAGCTTTTCCTGCTTGTTTCAGGTCATTTTAAAATGTTAGTTTCTCAGAAAAAAGAATTATGCCTCAAAGGCTTTTAAAATTTTTATGATTGTTTATGCAAATCAGAAATTTCTTTACAAAGGCATCACAATGTATGTTCCAGGTAGTATAGTCAATAATTCTGTCTTTACAATTGTTATAAAACATTTTTGTCTTTATTAGAATGTTCAAAGGACCTACACAAAATGAATTCTATTGCTTTTCAATGTGATAGAGTTTCAGTTATTTGAACTTTTATAAGCTATGTCTGATGTACCCTGGACATTGCATATTCTTTTTCACACGTTTTCTCTGTGCTCACTGTCTCCAGCTTTCTTTTCAACAACTCTTGTTTGACTGAACTGTGAGGCTCCTAATCATCTGAGTCACAGTCTTCTAAATACATTCCATTGTGCTTCTGTCCTTCCTAATTTGAAGATTCCAGATATGCCCTGACCAGTGCAGACACAGAGGGACTATCACTGTCCCTGACCAGGGCATTTATTTCCAGCAATGCAGTCTAAGGTCATATTAGCATTTTTGGCACTAAAATACAATGTTGGCTCATGTTTATGTGCTGTCAACTAAAAGTCTCATGTTTTCACATGCATTCTCATTAAGTGAGGCTTCTCAATATACTAATGAAGATAATAGTAAACAGTTAAGTGAAATAAATTATCTGTTCTAATTAAACATTAACTTATTAATGTTTATTATTCTAGAATATTGAGATAAATTACCAAGTATATGTATATATGCATTTGTTAAATATTTTTTGTATCTTCATTCATTATTGACAAAGATAGTGTCTAAGACAAGCAGAAACACAGAACTTTATGGTATGTGATGAGCATTACTGGGTTGTAAGAAATCAGTTTTTAGACATAAATATTTAGTCAGCATTGCATCAGCATCTGTTGATTCACCAATGGACTTCACATTCAACCATATTTATCCTTTCTATGCCTGAGAATGCCATGCAGAACGTTAAAGGGCTTGGTGGAACTAAAATGAATAATGATTAATTTTTCCATTAATTATTATAAGGGTGATTTTTAACTGTCTAAAAATACGATAAGTAATTTTAATCTTCATCTCACAATATCCTTATTTTCAAAGTGCTTATTAAATACCTGTTGCTAATTTTAAAACTTATGTTGATACTATGTCTGTATTGTCTGACTTCTCTATGAAATTGACTACATCTCTTTTTTGGAGTTTCTCATGTAAAAGAAATCTTGAGATATTTAAACTTGTGTGTTTGATTTATTTCATTTAACTTTTTAATCTCAAGATGTATACATTTGCCTATAAATGACTCAAATTCAGCCTCCTTTAGGACAAAGTAGTACTCTATTATATATAAATATCACATTTTCTTTATCCTTTTAGCTGCTGACGGACATAGATTGCTTTCAAGATTGTGAGGCTGTAAATATAGAAATGCATGAATTACTGCAATATGATTTTTTAACCTCTTTTGGAAAATACCTAAAGGGAATGTCTGAATTGAATAGAATTTTTAGGTTTAATTTTTTAGAAATCTCCCTACTAGTTTAAATATGAATAAATTAAATAGCAAAAGGAAAGACAGATGATACTGAACAGAAAGACAGATCTTTTTCAAAAGAGAAAGGAACCAAGAAATAGAGGAATGAAAAGAAAAATTAAGATGTGTTATGTATGTGTATCAACTCTCCACAATGAGTGTAATTATTATGTACTATAAACATGTACCAATCAAAATAAAAATTAGAAAAAATTTACCAATTTATCATGAGAAAAGTCATTTAGACTTCTATGTATTTTTAAAACAAAACAGTGGCAGACTTATCTAATAATTAAATCTAAATAAAATATGACAAGATCATAGGTAAAAATAATAAAGCAAAGCAATATCTATGCAATCTCTCTCATACTGTTTTAAAATTAAAATCAATGTGCAACTTTGAGAAGACACAACACTTATTTTAAATAGCTTTAAATTACTAACAAGATGATAAATTTTGTCTATGGTCATTACTGTCTATTGTCTATGGTCTCTACTGTCTATATAGAATTAGTTCTAAAATAACTAAAACTGTTTCTCATTGTTCAGACATTTTAATTGCCTCATTTAAATTCCAGGGTCCTTATTGGTTCTCCTTTAGTTGGCCAACCCAAAACCAGAACTGGCGATGTCTATAAGTGTCCAGTTGGGAGAGGTGAATCATTACCTTGCATAAAATTGGATCTACCAGGTATGTAAAATCCAAGTTAGCCTCACCTTAAATCTTGCCTATTATTTCCACTAAAAACACTTTCAAGTGATTCAAGAAAATATTAGAAGTAATCTTTAAACTTTGTTTAGTTATTATCCAAATTCATATAGAGAGACATTTGATTTCCTCTGCCCTGCTTTTATAAATTTTGTTACCTTATCATTCAGACTCTTTTGTAAACTAGTGTAACATGAGAGAACTTTTTCCAAATATCTGTCCATCACATTCTTTGCACAGAATATTAGTGCCTAATTCTTAGACATATAGAAATAAGAAAAACAGAATAGGAGGAATTATAATTTTAAAATGAGTAATCAGACACATTTATATTAAAGAAGATATATTTGACAGCCATCTCACTGTAGTTGAAATATGGATGAAAAGTTTCTCCTAGAATTATCCAGGAATTAGATCTCTATCAGTATCTTATATAATATCAAATACCATGGAAATGATTTATAGCTCCCCAAATTTATTGCAAATATTATATATTTCATTCTCCTTTTTTCAATTTCCTATTAGTTTGTTCATTTTTATTAGTGAGGTACATAATAGTTATACTCATCTTGGAAAATTGCTGCATATGCATACCACATCCTGATTATTTTACATCGCTCATGCTCCCTTTTTCTTTCTTCTTTAGATCTCTTTCCTATCCCTAGTCTACCTCCCTATTTCCTACTGTCTCTCTTTTGTTTTGCTTTTTAAATTATCTATATCTGAGTCTTTCATATTAGAGAAACCATGCAATATTTTCTTCGTTCATTATGAACATTTTTCCTTTATATTCATGGTCATAGTTAGAGTAGTTGTTTTAATACCTTTGCCTGATAATTCTAACAATTTGAATGTCTCATCACTTTCCATTTACTAAATTTCCTTAAGGTTGTATTATAGTTTCTTGTTTCTTCTTATAGGTGATATTTTTAGGTCATAGCATGGATTAATACTTTTGATTCACAAATGTGAAAATTCTAGATGTTATTTGCCTTTGAATTGTCTTAACTTTCCTATGTACAGGCAATTTACTTGGCCTGCTGTTTGCTTTTTTACAGTGTGAAGCAGTTAAAAGTCTTTATTCAAATTGTACTTCTAATGAACTGGTTAAAGTCTACTCTGCACATTGATTGTTGAGTCATTCAGCTATTTGGACAGAAAATGATGCATATATTTTACAACTGTCCTCTTATAACTCTTTTTCCTAAAATATCCCTCTGCACTTTGCAGATGCTTTCATTGTTCTCCAATTTTTATCTCCTTTTTCTACAAGAGAGTAGGTCTGGGAATCCTGTTTGCATTTTACCACTGACTAGGGAATCAAAAATGGAAACAAAAAGCAAAGCAAAATGAAATACAAAAATAAGAAACCTACCCAGTGCAAATCTTTTTCCAAGTATAGATTTTTCTCTAGTTTTTGCCTGTTTTTGGTTGCTTTCCAATGCCTTTAAATGGTTGCTTCATATATCCTTTTACTTGCAAATGAGTTGCTTAGTAGCTACTCCTCCATTACTGTGAACTGGAATAAAGTTTTTAAATTAGCCTAGATTTCAACTACATCAAAACCAGTAAGTAACTGTGTGATAACCCCTAATTGTCACTGAAGTGCTGATCTCAAGTCAACCTAGTATAAAACAATTCTTGACCAGGTTTTAAAAAACACCAATCTATGTCACAGTTCAATCCCAGCTTGCTTTCAAAGAAAATCAAAATACACTCTTGGGCAAAGATCAATACTCAGATTAGGTCCACCTGGTCATTCAGGAAGCTTTCTTTCCATTGTCTACTTTAAGTCTATAGATAGTCTTAAAGTAGGAGCAACCTCTAAGCACAAATAGGCGAATCTTTCTTGAACTTGAATTTTGCTGCTTTTAAATGTTTATGCACTCCATTAAGTAGAGTATAAAAGCTTCTGCTTTTCCTTTCCGTCTCTCCCTTCTTCCCTTCCTCCTTTTCTTCCATCTCCATGATTTTGAATGTCTTAGTCAATACCTTGTGTTTCAGTGTTTTATTTTTCTGGTCTTCTATGCATTTTCCTTTTTCTTGCCAAAATCACTTTTCACCATTGTTTATAACAAGGAAGATATCATTATATTTACAATAGTTTGAAGCTAAATATTTTATTTTTGATTATCAAAGACACGTGTGCACAGTACCTACCTTGTAAGCACAAGGTCCTGAATTCAATTCCCAGTACAAAAACAAAACAAAACAAAACAAAACAAAAAACCCACGAGAGGCAATGTCATATTCACATAGCCTTGTGGGTTCTGTATTCTCTCCCAGTTCAACAAAACTATTTGGAATGGTGATAGAGACTGTTTCTGGGACAAAAGCCAGCCCTTCAGCCTAAGTTACTTCAGTATACTCCTTAATAATACTTGGAAGTGTATTCCACTGAGCTGAAATAAGAATGTGCCATGATATGAACAAAGCAAAAAGACTGTTTTAATGAGTAGATACTTAATTTCACTTTGTGGAAATTATTTTCATCCTCATAAAATTTTGTTCTCCCTTGTAGTTAACACATCCATTCCCAATGTCACAGAAATAAAAGAGAACATGACGTTTGGATCAACTTTAGTCACCAACCCAAAAGGAGGGTTTCTGGTAAGAAAGAAAAGAGTAATATTGTTTCCTAACAGAAATACTAGCATTAAAAAATGTTAAAATTTGTTGTGTGATTTTCAGTCTTACGGTTTTTAATGTTTTAAATTCTTTAAAAGGCATGTGGGCCCTTGTATGCCTATAGATGTGGACACCTGCATTACACAACTGGAATCTGTTCCGATGTCAGTCCCACTTTTCAAGTCGTGAACTCCTTTGCCCCTGTACAAGGTACAGATTTTATGCAGTGTTTTTGCTTGTTTGAAAAGCATAAGCAATGAATGAGACATATGTATACATAAGAACATACCAAAAAGTTTTAAGTATTTTGTCAGCTACCAGTGTTACCAATTTAGGTAAATGTTTGCTTTGTCAGTATATAACCAAACTTCACTGGTATTTTTAGAATTGATACTAGTATAAATAACTTTTATAGCACCACATTTAAACTTCATATCTACAGCTGTCACACTGCTTGTATTTAAAGGGTCTCTTTGAGAAACTTAACTTTATTATAAATAAACCCAGAATGAGAATGTGATATCAAATTCATATTAATAAAATTTCCAAATATAACTTTATACAATATTAACTAAAATTAATTAGATACCAGTTTTACTTGACACAAACTTCAAACCAATTCTAACTGCATAAAATATACATTTCTTATGTCTTTTGCTTTTATGAAACAATTAAAGTAATATGTCCACTTTATAGATACCAGTTCATTTTTTTAAAATGAGCTTCTTTCAACTATGAAAACACATATCTCTGAACGTTAGATTCTAAATTTTTATACTTTCCTCTTTTTACTGCAGAATGCAATACTCAGCTGGACATAGTTATAGTGCTGGATGGTTCCAACAGTATTTATCCCTGGGCTAGTGTTACAGACTTTTTAAATGACCTTCTGGAAAAAATGGATATTGGTCCTAAGCAGACACAGGTATGTGACTCTGTGTTTTCATTTCTGATATTCTAAAGTTAAATATGCACAGGATTCTAATAAATCAAAATATGGTAGAAATGACCACACTTGGTAAAATTAAGGATGAATTTATGTTCTTTATTCTATTTTTATTTTAATAAAAGGTATATTATTTCAAATCACATTATTTTCTAAACAGAAAATAGCATGGCTACCATTTTCAATCTTCTTGGAAAATATCATATATATATATATATATATGCATGTAATTTAATTTTTAATTATGAGATAAGTATAGCTACCCTTTAGCAGTATCAAAGCAGAGTTTCAGAGTTTGTAGAAATGAATCTGAAGTCTTAAAAATCTTATCCCATCATAATCTCTTTTCCCATCCTATACAAATTGCCACAGCATATGCTTAAAGTCTGTTTTGTCCTGTATTAATAATTCTGCCCTTAAATGAAAAATAATACCGTAGGCTCCAGCTGGAGGAAGTCAAATAGTTTTTGCGGTCGTCTTTCCCTGGGTATCTGTTCGTAGGTCTCCTTTATAACCTATAAAGGAAGTGGAATTTTTCACACAACTCTTCCACTTCAGACACTTTGTGTTTAATTAATTTCAGTTTTGCTAAAATTATCTGCTTTTATATATTGTAAAATATAAAAAAGACATGATCCATAGCAGACAGATGAAATGTCAGTGAGCTCAGTGCATAGAGGGAAGGAAATTAGCACTAAAATCGGAATTTGAAAGTTTGTTTTGTGGTTTGTGGGTGATCCTTTCCTGTCTGAGACTATTCTTGGAGGAATTCTGAGGCACCTAATAATTAGTCTGACTATACCAGTATTTCCTACACACACATTAAAATTGGGACATAATACACACATGCATGCATGTGTATGTGTGCATCTGTGTGTGGACTCTCCCTTTCTTACCATCTGGATAAGGAGAATATGTGTGTGAACATAATATTTCCCAGAAGGATGGTAGTCAAAGATTTAAAATTAGAACCCAAACCTCAGAGTAAAACATCATTTGCTCTGTTACAAGGCTGAACAGGTCACTATGGGGAACTAGTTCAGGAGAATAGTTATGGATATCCCACTGAACAATGGAGAATTTTTTTTAAATCAGTGTAAAATCATTAAAAGAAAATTGATTTTTATACATCATGAATTGCAAATTTTCCTAAATGCAACTGGTCAACTTCAACTGACTTTCTTGAGTAAATCATTAGAAGTTTGGAGAGGCTAATATATCTCTTCTTGCCACAGGATTAAGACACACACCCTGCATCCTAACAGACCACTGGAGAATTTTGACTTGTTCTTCTTTCTGGCCTGTGTTCCATCTGGACTTCTTTTTTCTCCTTCTGAAGAACTCTTTGCCTTTTTCCTCTCCTGTTTCCCTACCTTTTATCACTCTTGTCAGTAAGACCTCATCAAGCTGTAAAGGGAAACTGTAAGAAATCTTAAAGGTCACTGAGCTCCAAAGCCAACCTGTGAAGTGTTCACAAGAAGTTAAGTGGCTCATTGAAGGTCAGAGTAGAAGCCACAGCTCTGGAAGTGCAGTACCAGGTTGTTTCTTGCTAACATTTCTACTTCTAGAGAAGTTTCAGTTAATCCTATTTAATATACTAGCGGAAGTCTCTACTCCTTTGCATATCATCATGACTGCCCGCATCCTTCCCAGGGCAGCTTTTTAGCGAGATTTCTGACAGGCTTTGGGAGCTGGATTTCCTGAGCTTACATACCCAAAATAAAATTGATGTCTCCCAGTTTTTCCCTTCTCTTGCTACTTTTACCTATGATATATTTTCTTTTCCCCCCACCTTTTCTGTTCATTTCATTTTATTTCCTTATCCAATTCTTCCTTCCCAATGCCAGTACTATTTTTGATATATATTTTGAATTTTAAACTATAATATATTTGCTTGGATATTTAAATGTTATCTTTAAACTCACTTACATGTTTTACTCTAAAAAATATTTGTAGCTATTTGAAAAATCAGTACAGCTGTGACATGTTTGAAATTGCTCCACAACCTCAAAAAAAAAAAAAAAAATCCACAAGGCTGATCTTTAATAGTAATTACTCTCTTAATGAAGATATGTGCCAGATTTTTCCAGTTTGGGGAATAAATAAATGACAATCAATTGCTTGTGTGCTCAAAGCACTCTGTTCAAATTTCTGTATTTTTTACTGTTAGAACTATAGTTACTTCACCTTGCTAAGAGCTCTAAGAAGAACTATTCTCCTTGTTCACTAGAAGAACTGCAGCCTGTCAGGGTAGGTTTTATGAATATGTAGCTCTTTCCTGGAAGGAACAATGACTCCATTCAAAGGAACAGGGTCCCATCCTTGAAGGTCAGATGCTAGCAGTATGTGGACCAGAGAGATGAATTTACCCTGAAGTAGAAGAGTAAAGTCACAATTATTCAGGTCTAGAAGAAAAACAATTCTTAATGCAATATTGTACATACCATCATTGGTAGTATCTTCAAGCTTCACCAAAAGGAATCTGGTCCTTCTTCAAGGTGGTGTTAATTATAGTATAATTCCAAATTACTGCTTATGAGTATAGGCCTTGAGACTTGGTGTTCTCAGATGCCCTCCTGCCACAATTTTGATGTCTCTAGCCTGCACTGACTTCCTTGAAAGCTCAGTCCCTCTCTGACTATATACAAATTTATACTAACTTAGCTGCCTATATTTAGAATGGAATCAATTGTGTCTGTGTAGAAAATTCCTGCTGAGTATGGCTTTCATGCTATCATACAGAGATTTTATCTATAGAGTTGAGACCCATAGTGGACTGGTGTCTGACCCCATCCTGAAATATATAAAGGCAAAATAGCAATAACCTGCTATTGACCAACAAGTCAAAGCAAAGGTTTCTTTGCTATCAGCCTATATTCTGAGAATGTTAGAACAAAGTTTGTGTATGCTTGCCGTGAAACAGCATGAGCCGCTGAAACCGAAAGCCAGCATGTGGTCATGTTAGGTCCTGTTCACGGACTCTCCTGGAAGTGAAGGGATGCATGTGCAGAATGTACAATAAAAGTAGAAGAAAAATATAAATCCTAAGAATAGTGGGGGTGAAATACACTCACTCAGGGCAAAGAGATAGCTGAAATGTCCCAATGAAGGAGATTCTCCTATTCTCTGAAAAAAAAAAAAGGTGGTAATATATATCAGAATCTGATACATTTTAAGATAGTACCAGTGCAGTAAGGGTTTCTATACTTTTATTTGTAGTCCACACCCTGTGTCCACATCCCTGAGGTCAGATTATAGTTCACAACCTATAGTTAGGAGAAGGAGAAAGAGGAAGAGGAGGAGGAAGAAGAATAAGAAAGAGAAGAAGAAAGAGGAAGAGAGGAAGGGGAAGAGAAAATAAAAAGACGAGGAGGAAGAAGAGGAGGAGAGAGGGCTTACAGAGGAGAAGGAACAGGAAAATAAATAAAGAGGGAGCCTATTTTGCCCCATTCTCAACCACAGCATCTTACTTCCTTTTTTAAAATTTTTATTTAAAGAAAGACTAAACAAAACAGAAAATAGGTAGAAATAATACATACGTTCAGAGAAAAAAAATAAACAGTAAGAAATCACTAGTTGATGTTTACATTAGGGCTGGGGACATAGCTCAGCAGCACAAGTGCCTGCCTAGCATCTTAGTTCCTTACTACCTTAGTAGTCGCAATAAAGAAGTCTCGAATATAAATTAACTTTAATGTTTGTTAATTTCATTTTAATTTAGATGCAAACATATGAAAGAGTTGATATTTGGTCTTTTATTATTTTTAATATTGAAAGTATACCAAGTTCATGTGAAACAATCTAAATAAAAATTTCCTACCTTAGTCACTCATTTTTACTTTTTAAATTCATTTTGTGGTGCTAGGACTCAAACCCAGGTTCTAAGACATGCTGTGCAAGTGTTGTACCTCTGAGCCACATCCCAACCCTATGGTATCTTTTTAAAACAGATACTCAAAGCTAAGAATCAGAAAAGTCATAACACATTTATGTTACAAACCAGGAATGACAAAAGAATTTCAGTCTAAGTAAGTTTTAAAGGGATGGTGAGTAGTCACAGAAAAAAATTCTATAGTGATTATATCTCCTGAGGTTTTGTTTGCTGTAAAATAATTACAATTATATACTTAGTACAATAGATAAATAATGGCACATTCTCTAGAGTCATAAATTTGTCATTTAATAATTGCAAGCAATGAAAGGTAGTCTCAGCTAGGCATTGTAGTATACTCCTTAATCTCATTACTTGAGAGACTGAGGCAGGAGGATCATTGCAAGTTCAAGACAAGCTAGGACTATGAAATGAGCCCAAGGCCAGCCTGAAATGCATAGCAACACCCCATCTCAAAAAGAACAAATGAGGAGGAGGTGGAGGTGGAGGACGAGGAGGAGAAGGAAGGAAGGAAGGAAGGAAGGAAGGAAGGAAGGAAAAAAACAAGACAAATAAGAAAGCTTGCATGAATATTTCCTTATGATAATTAGTGTATATTAGGGAAATGCAACAAAAATGATGAGAATACCCACTCTAAATAGTTACTCAGAATTTCTTCCATGTAATATGTGGCCCCATTAAGATTCTTGCAAACATAGTCAAAGAATTTTTGCCAACCAATCTTTTATCCAAAAACACAGCAGAGGCTGTAAAATTGCCTTTTAAAAGCCACCTATAAAAACAAACCTGATACACTCTGCATTTACCATAAAAGATATGATAGTGTAAACCTTATGGAGGTCTTATTGATCCTCAATACCTAAGCATAATATTGCTTTTAATAATAAATGGAAATGATGTAAATATGTCAAATACAAGTGCATTATCCCAAATAAAACCAGTAAATTGTGTGGCTTGATATAAAATTGAAATATACTAATGGAACAATGTCTAAATTGTTCACATCAGGGGTATAGCATAGCATTAAACCAGGCAAAGTGAAAGAGAGAAATTAATTAAATTTTAGGAATTTTTTTTATCTTTCTTT